ATTTTTCATAATCAGATGTCTTCAATATTCAGAAATGATACTAAATCACAATCGAAAATATTCATCATTCACCCCTTTGCTCTTTTTCTATACATATAGTACGTGATAATTACGTGATTATAGTACATGATCTCAAAACTCACAAATTACTGTCAACATATATTATTAGATATAATAATAATTTTTTAATCATAGAAGATGTATTCTTATCAATCCACAAGGTTTATAAAAAAAGATTTTACAGTATCTAAAGAAATTTTAAATAAGTAGTATATACCTTCGTACTTAGTAGTGTAGTACCTAAAAAGTTAAGTAGTAATATAAGCACAATGCTTATTAATAGTTTGTCACAAAGGCAATTTTAGTTAGTTATTGCATTTGTATTAGCAACATTGAAAATGTTTTACACTATTAAATAAAAAATTATCCCTAAAAGAAAGTACTTTTCCATTCCTCCAGCGCAGGCAATCAAGTTGCCAATAGAAATTCACTAGGCCCAAGTAAATTCAACTGTTTTATTCTTTTAGGTGACAGTAATTTTGTTAAAATGATAAATAAAATAGATGAATTTAATCATAAAGTACCAAAAAAATTATTTTCATTCTATGAATTTTAGTATAAAAAATAACAATCCATTACTCGTGTAATTAAAACTTCTTGACTAGCATCATAAATTTAATAAAAATTATTAAATACTAATAAAAAATAAACACATCAGTTATAAATTCGGTCAATGTGAATTCTGGAATTGCTTTTTAATACTGAAGGAATATAAAACTAATGTTTACTAAGTTAATGTGTGATAGAGTTACTGCTGATTGATCAAAACTTTGAAATATATTTTAATTGATTAAAACAACAACAAATAATAAATAACATATTACATTTTAAAAATGGAGTTTAATGTGAATACTTGCTATGATTCGTTGGTGAATATTTAATTAATACTGCTTTTTAAAGTCATTATCTAGTAAGTTAAATCTTACCATTAAATTGTAAGCTTCGAAACACATTTCATGGGAAAATTTCAATAATAAATATATATTCATTTTTTAACTATAACTTTGTATAACTAAATAAATAAACAATAAGTATGAAAAAATATGTTTTTTTCCACCGTGTGCATGGTATTGGGCCCAATAAGTAAAAGTGTCACGCCGCTTATATGGCGGCATTAATCTGATTAATTCTTAGAAGGTTTTAAAATTAAAGTAATGAAAAAGGAATGCATATAAAAAATATGAATTCTACAAAAATAACATACTTTAATTTTTATACATAAATATACAAGGAAAAGTTTGAACAAAAATATTTAATACTGATATTCAAACATTGGTAATTAAAATATTTAAACAAATTTTTAAAACAGCTCTTTAAATATATATTAAAAAAAAAATCAACAGCACAACATCAATAGTTTGATTATAAATAAACCAGATTTTTAATCATATCATACAAGAAATGCAACCTTTTTGACAAAATATCAAAGTGTTTTAAATTTCAATGGGTTCTTTACTGACCAAACTGACCTGGTTTACAAAATGTGCTCAAAAAATTTCATGAATAGCCCCAAAAAATAAATAACTGTGCTGGATAGGTAGAACATAGCATTCATTCAGACATAACGAGAGTTATGGCAACTAGCGTCTAAGTCATGACAGTTAAATGGAAGTGAACAGTCTAAGTGAGAAGGCATGTTACTTCAAAATGGAGATATGCATTAAAGTAAAAAATATTTTTAAGTGATTTAAAATCTCTAGAGGAAAATTGAAGTATAAAAAGTGTTTCCAGCAATATGAAAAAATAATTTCACCAATATTTTTTGGCAGTTACAAATCTGATATCAAGAGTGCATTCTAACTAATAGTAATTATAGTTGACCCTTGATCTTGATTGTTGTAGTTTTCATTGTGAATGAAAAAATAGGAGAAAACAACAAAGGAGGGTCAACATAAAATTTCAAGTAATGAATTTGAAAACAAATTAATAAATTTACAATAAGAAAAAAAATTCAATTAAAAAATTTATGTATTTACTGTAAAAACATTTGCAATACAACATATAAACAATAGAAAGATGAATAAAAGCATTCATTTAGATAGTTAAATAATTCGAAAATCTTAGCTGTTCAAACACTCTCAACACAAGCAATTATTTTTACAAGATTTTAAATAGATTCACTTTCATGTGAATGCAGAAAGTTCTTCATTGTTTCAAAAGCTTCGAGGCCTTTTGCGTAGGGATTATCCCGTCGACCAGTCAATGCTAGCGAAAATGCGTAAGTCTTGTGGAGCGATCATACTGAAAAGCAATTTCCAAAATAAATATTCTAAACACATTAAATTTATCAAATAATAATAATAAAATGATAACAACAAAAAATGTAAGTGGAAAAATAAAAAATAAAAAAAAGGGCATTAGAAGGAATCAGAACAAAGTAGAAACATCAATTTTTTTTAAAATTACACATTGAATTCAACGAATTGAAAATATGCTACTTGACTTTCTTCGGTGCTAGATAAATCCTAAATTCGAATCATTTTGCAGCGGAGTAAGAAAAGAAAAAAACAGTATATTTCAACAAACTAACTAGGGTAGTCAAGGATTACGCAGCAAATGTGATAAAATTTGGGGTTACAGGTGCAGAAGCTAATTTTTGGTGTTAATATTGGGTTTGGTGAAAATGATCAACAGGCTAATCCCAAAGTACATAAATAATTATAGTTCAAAAAGTTTTTGTATCCAGCAAAAATAATTTTAATCAATAATAAAATTTTAAACAATCAAATTAAAATTTTTTTTTACAATTGTGAGAAAAAACAATTAGCTCATTGGCTTTTAAAAAAATCTAACAATTAATTATAAGTTCTTGACTGCCAGTGACTTATTTTCAGAGAACATTTCACTAGAAACAAAATCCAATAAAGATTATTGTTGATAAGGAAATAGAATATTGTATTTTGCATAAAAAATGCCTTTAAATTAATTTCAAATTAGAATTGTCAGAAGAAGATTAGAAATTAGAATTAAAGTACTTAAAAAATATGCGAGACAATNTTCAACTAGCATTTAACATTTAAAAAAATTATTTTCACCAAAAGTACCTTCTGAAAAATAAACATCTGAGATTATGAAATTAACTAGTTCTTTGACTGCCAAACAAACAAAAAAAATTTATTGCGTGCAAACAATTTTAATATCTTATAGGGAGGTTATGCTATAAAACATTTATAACTTTAAAGCCTTTAGCTCTGATTAAGGTGTTAATAAAATCATTAGCTTAATGAAAAGTAGTTGTATTTATTTACTTATTTTATATTTTTAAGGAAAAAAAATCCAATTTTCTAAAACAATTCTGCAAACTTTTTATATCACATAAGACCTTCTCCCAAAGATACTTTAAATGTAATTTTTAGGAAAACTAATATATATTATGCAATTTACAAAAATGCAATAAATATGATGATATAAATAATTTACTACACACAAAACTTTGATTTAAATCACACTTTTTCTTTATATTGTTGCTTCACTAAATTCCAATAAAGACCTTTCTTTTTTGACAAACTACTATGATTTCCAATCTACAGAAATGAACACAATAAATTAACATAAATAGATAATAAATTGTTTAAAATGTATATAAATTTTTAAAAAATTATTTTGTCTGAAAATTCAGATATTAGTAAAACTAATATATTATGCAATTTAGAAAAATGTAATAAATATGATGGTATAAATAATTTACTACACACAAAACTTTGATTTAAATCACACTTCTTCTTTATATTGTTGCTTCACCAAATTCCAATAAAGACCTTTTTTTTGACAAACTACTATGATTTCCAATCTACAGAAATGAACACAATAAATTAACATAAATAGATAATAAATTGTTTAAAATGTATATAAATTTAAAAAAAATTATTTTGTCTGAAAATTCAGATCACTGAAAGTAAAGCTTTGTTAATAAGAGCTTCTTTTTTAAACTAACTTAATTTTTTGACAATTTTTCAAAGAAAAATCTATATCTGAACTACCTTATATATATTTATTCTTAAAATGGTACATGGTAAAATGATACTAAAAATGTTTTATAATATTATTTCTGAATATCTTTTTATTTTTATAGAAATTATATTTTGGAAAAAAATAAATAACTGAGCTAACTAAGAAGGATTACCTTCTAAGGAAGACTAACTTCTTTTAAAATGAAAGAAATATTGAAAATTGTTTCCCACACAATTCCATTTTAAGATCATAAACAGCGAATATGTATTTTGAAAAATTTAAATGCTGTAGAAAAAGATGAAAATTCATTATGCATAGCTATTGCTGCTTTGGTAACTTCATTTCTCCAGCAAACTTGAAATTTGATAACATGCATTATAAATTTCAATGGAATAATAAATTTTACACACATTTATTCATGTGTGGTTAGCTCACTTCTTGTAGTTTCTTCAAATATCTAAGTATTGAATTGAAAATAATTTTGAAAAATTTCTTTGAAATGTAGTTATATTAGTTGTCTAATATCCAAACAAAATGTAAAGAAACTTACAATACACAAGAGGTAATGCTTTTTTCCAGAAAATTAAAATTTTTAAGATAAATTTAAAATTTTTGAAATAAGTTTAGGAAGGGAATTAATTTTGAGCTATCATATTTATTAGTATAATTATTCTTATTATAAGATATTTTTCAAAGATGAATAAAAATCTTAACGCCAAAAAAAAAAAAAGAATTTTAAGAATTTTAAAATTAAAAGTTTGAAATTAATTTTGAAAAAAAGTTTGAAATGAAATTATTCACGGGAACCTTAAAAATGACCAAATTCTGAAACATAATTATCTAAGGATATTAACAGCACTTTATGAATAAAAAATAAAAACTATAATTAAATTATCCAAAAGCTAAACATCTTGTTAGAATAATGGAAGCACTTATTTCTGAAAAGAAGTAGTTACAATAAAATGAAAAAAAAAATTAACGAGTTGAATCACCATTTACAGTATAATATTCATAATTTAATCATCATTTCTTTAAAAGTTCTATTTTTATTTTTAGTGAAAGAGTCAATCTAATTATAATCTTTTAAATATTTATCCTGTTTTATTATTATTAGAAAAAAAGACTATTTCTAAAACATCTTAATTTTTTTACAAATTGTAAGTTGCATTACAAAAAACATGCACTCTAACATGGCTTGTTATTACACACTCCTATTCTTAAATATTTTTAAAAATAAAAGAAACACATGTAATTAAAAAAGGAAAACTTAATTTCAAGAAGTACGTTAAAAATTTTCAATATATTCTTTTAACGTGAAACTTCTAAATATTTTTATAGCAGTGAGTTTAATAACAAAAATATTTACAGTGGCATTTTAAAGCTTAAACAAAATGTTAATTTTTTATTAAATATCATCTAGCCTATGCTAAGAAACTACTAAAATCAACACAGATATTTTCTAAATAACACAAATTTTTTTCCAACTTATGTTTAATATTTACACATAGAACAAAGAATATAGATTTTAAATTATTAAAATAACTTTAATTGTAGCATACCTCAACTATTTGGCCTCTTTTTACTACAGCAATGAAATCTATATTTTGGATTGTACTCAAACAATGAGCTATCACTAGCACAGTATGACCTAAGCAAATAAAAAGTGAAACATTTTATTCAAGAAAATAAATTTGTCAATTTTATAAAAACTAAAAGCAAACACATTTTTCAAGGAATTTGATTAAATTTTATTTTTATAAAGTTTAACGTAAAAGTAACATGTGCTTAATTATATATAGCTTACAAATCTTATTCTTTGATAGTCTTATTATTTTCTATAGAATTTCAAAGTTTAACAAAAGCTTTGAACTCTTACAAGCAAAAATTATTAATTCATAACAAAAATTGGAAAGAAACTCTCGGGTAAGAATATATTTTGTTTAAAAATTTTCCTGATGATATAAAATAAAAATGCAGAAAAAAGTTTTCAAGATAAAGTAGACTACAAAACACAAACCAATTTAATTTGACTCAGTATAACACATACAATTAAAATAAAATGTATGAGTTATACTGAGTACTTTGCTGTTTACAAAAATGTACTAAAAATAATATAATTACAAAGTAAAAATTATACAAAATGCACACTTTTTATAAAATTTTTTATATTTAGAAAACTTAAATTATATAAAAATTTGATTCCATTACCTTTAACAGCATAATCTAAAGCTTCTTGAACAACCTTTTCTGATTCTACATCTGAAGCACTAAAAAAATTGAATGATTGATACAAAACATTTATATACATTATTTTACATAAGAAAAATTAAAGTCTTTAACAAATTAAGTTCTTCTGAATATTAGACAAGAGAGTTAGAACAAAATGAAAATTTTCATAGAAGAAATTTGATGTATCAAAACATATGAAAAATGTTTGAAGAGCTCATCAGCTATTTCAGAACCCTTTGATTAAAAATTTGAAGGGTAGCACGAGAAATTGAAGATCTGTTCTATTAAACTTAACATGCTTCCAGTTTTCAAAATATAGGGGAGAGCATTGTACTATGGCACAAACAGCATAGCTCGACCATCAACTAGCGACTAACAAAAATAACCTGACATAGTCCTTTCCTTAGCCACTAACAGTTAGCATATAGTATCTAGCATTATAGTGAGATTTGTGGGAGCTAGAAAATAAGAGGAAAATTTTTATTGAAAAGTAAATTATTATTTTTTTAATTTCTATTCTTTCCTAATTGACTAGTATTAAAAATTAAGATGATGTATCGAACTTTTAATTGTATTCTACTTAATGGTATGATAAGTTAATCTGAACAACTAACTGTAAACACTTTTACATGCCATATTTTTTTAATTTTATTGTGTTGTACCTAGGGACTGAATTGTTAAAACTGGAATGAACAGAATCAGTTCCTTTTAAGAAATGAAACAATATACAAAAGAGATGAAGAAGAAATAATATGTAAATTGCATTCACACTAAGCAGCATGGTCTTCAGCTTGTCAGAAGCAATCACTAAGTACTCTGTGCATTTCAGCATATATGACCATAGCCACCAAAAAATAAGGGTGTTGAGATCACCAAGGTCTTTTAATGACGTCACAAACAGTGGTGTATAGCTGATAAGCGATTAGCCGCCAATTTCAAATATTTGTCAACAGCAGTCCCGTTTGCTTGTCGGATATGTCGTTACAAACCACTATCAAAAATACATATAGCATTATTTTACAACTTTCAACAATGCCATATGCATGTGTAGTTCCAAAATGTAAAGGGAACTAGAAATAGCGCCTAAAGTATCAGTTTTTATGTTTCCGAAAAGTGAAGAAAAGAAACATAGATTAATGGATAACGAGACAGTTATCAAATAACTGTTAATAGTCGAGTAAGTGTTTATCTTTTATATTTTAATATACGGTTTTTGCAGACTTCATGATTAACTTTTTAATGACATAATGAAATAAGTTGTATTTAAGAATTACAATGTTTTGAGTATTGTTAGTGTAGCAAATATTAGAATATAAAACTATCAAAGCATTCGTACTTTTGCAAAACTTTTAGACGTGAAATAAAACAAATTTAAACATCATTAGTCTTGTTTAAATATATATATATAAACAAANTTTGGTATCGTTGCAGTTGCTTTCATGATGTCCAAAATTTTGGCAGTTGCGACATCTGTGGATTGTCGTCGATGGGAGACTAGAATTTTCTTTCCGAAGTTGTTGTAGTTTTTGGAGGTAGGTAGGGCAAGTGGCACTGGAAGCTTTGTGGTTGCAATCTATGTTTAGGTTGTGCTTGTCGTTGCTTTCATGACAATTGATGCAGTAATCGAAATGTTCTTGACATTGTTGGATAGAGTGGCCCACATAGCCACATTTCTCGCACATTTCTTCGTTGGGGCAGTCATCCTGATGATGTTCTAAACGTTGACATTTGCGACATCTTAAGAGAATAAGCCTTTTTTTTATTATACATTTGAACATTCCAATGAAGATGGTGTGTTGTTTGAGCAGATTTAATGATAGTTGTCTGCTAGCTTTGAGAACTGACCCAACAAGCACACGACTTTAGGGCTAGTGAAGGGACAATGCCGGCTCACCTAAAGTGCCATTACGGCGGGCTTTTCATTGCCGTATCGGTTCCGTTAATAAAGTGAAATCTGGGCCAGAATGAGGGCCAGTGCATGGCATTTCTGGCAAAATTTTCGGCATCCGTTACGGGCCCTGCATTAGTTCAGCATCAATTATACATTTTTACATAATTGCCTAACCGATGCCGAAAGATAAATCCAAATCCAACAATGGCGTTTTTATTTGCCGAAAATGCTTTCAATCTCCCTTAGTATTACCATAAATGCCTATTTATTTTATAGACAATTTTTGCAACGGCTGGTTTCTTTACCTTAATTGCCAAGAACGGACCTTCATTAGGGACTGATTGAAAACCACCTTTACCTTTACTGCCAATATTGAACCGACGTTTATTTTGCTCCGGCAAGAACGTGATATAGAATTGCCATAAGCATACCTTTAACAAATTTATGTCATCAGTAGCTTTTAATTTAATTGCCGGAATTATAATGACATTTTCCCAAAATCGGCAAATATAGAATGCCGTCACAACCGTAAATCCCCCATCCTTGCCACCTTTAATTCTCGTTTTTTTTAATATTTTGCTTATTTTTTTTTCCTTACAATTTTATTTCACTGGAGCTTTTTTATTGCGTGCTTTATATTTATGAAGACTAGGCTTTGAAAAATATGATTAATAAGTCTTTAAGTAAAAGATGCGTAACTCTCTCGCTTGTCTATATATATATGTATTAGAATAATTATTAGACTAGTTACATGTATTTATTTTCAAGGTTTAATTTTTCTCTTTCAAAGTTACATACTTGAAATGTAAACTATACTTTTTTCAGCTTTGGTCCTGAAAAATTATAATTTAATTTTTCAGAACAAAAGCTCTGAAACCTTAGTTATCTCTCCATTTATATATATACATTGTAGAAATTATTTTCACTATTTTGTTAGAAAAAAAGGATAGTAAAACTGAAGATTATTATTTGCTTTAAACTTTGGAAATGGAGAGACATTTATTTTCCATTTAATGTATCATTTAACGCTTGCAACGCCAATATTCTATGCTAGGCTATTGCAACTAATAGCAGCTTTATCATTTATTGTGCTGCCCTAAATTACACACTTATTATTAAAGATTTATTTCTAATAGAAAAATTCTTTAATTGTTCTTAATTAAAAATTTAATTAATGTTGCATGCTAATTCTGCCTTAAGCAATTTTTTTCTTTTTTTTCGTAATACATTTAAAGAATTCTGACAAATTCATTGAGTTTGTTTAAATTAATGAATTTAAAAGAAAATTTATTTCATGTTCGTTACTTATTTTTAAAATATATCATTTACAGTGCATAAAAATCGCACAACAGTTTAATTTGGTGTTCGATAATTTTTTTTTTTTTTTGTCAATAACTTTTTTTTTCTTTGATAAACCTTGTTTTGGTGTTTGAATTATAAAATTATTTTATATAATATTCATACTTATTTCTTTGTTAAGTAACATTAGTTTACTTCAATATTGTAATATAAAAATGAAATTTTTTACATTGTATTTAACTTTTTGATTACATCATTGATTAAAAGCAATCAAATCGAAAAAATGAAAAAGAAAAAAAGTATGCTTAATATAATGCTAAGGAATGAATTCCAAATATTGAATAATTATTTCCTTCTTTGTATTCATATTTTTCTTATTTTATAGGAAAAGTAATGTATACTCCTTTTTAATATAGAAATAAGATTGCAAAATATGAAAAAACAGAAATTTTTTAATTATTATTTCTACAAAATATTTTCTTCTGCTAGTTGTTCTGCTTGTATTGATCTCTTCATTCTTCTGGATCTTCCACCATCACGATCACCCGCCGATCTTAGCCATCTTTTTACCACATCCTCCACAACATTTTGCTGAGTTTTTTCAAACAACTTGTTGCTCCTTAGAGATCCTGTAGAAACAATTGAGCTTATTAATGGATTTTCATTAAAAAAATTAATTAGCTTCATAATTTCAAAAATTTCATTTTACAGGGAAAAAAACATACTAAGCAACTTGCGTTGTAACTGCTGCACGCTGTTTATTTTAAATTCAAGATTTAAAAATAAATTCATAAAAAGTTAGTAATAAAACACATTTTCTTTTTTTCAAAATACCTCCTCAAATTTTAAGTGAAGCAATGATGCTCCCTTTTCTTTTAAAATGAATTTTTCATTAAAATACATATTATGAAATTTTCAATTTGCTTCCTTAAAAGTTAATATGTGCTTTTCTATACCTAAAATTAGCTTTAAAACAGAGGGAAACTCCTGTATGGACCTTTTACGTCCTCCAACCCAGTTCATTTCAGTGGCCAGTTTATTTGAGATTATTCTAGTGAGTATCCTTCTGACTCCATCAGCGGTATCCTTTCCTCCTAGCAATCCAAGAGTGAAAGCCTAAAAAACAACAATAACATCAAAAAATGTAAAATTACGTTCTTTTTTTTAATTTTTAAAATATTGCTCTCTCTTTCACTTAAGCCATTGTAACAAAAATATTAGAATTTTCAATACTTTTGATCATAAATTTTACAGAATAAAAAACTTGGCTAAACAAAATTTAATGTAGAAAATAAGAGATGAATTAATGATACCTTAATATCTCAAAATACGAATACTTTTTAAAACATTAATTTAAATGTTTTCCTGAAGTAATGAAAAGGTAAATGGTCACTGAAAACAGTTTATTCACATACTATTTATATTAAATCAGAAAGCACTTTACCTTAAAAATATAAATTTCATTTTAGAAATGTTATTACTCACTACTTAATTTCTAGACTTAATTATAACTAGATCTTCTGTTAACCCTTTGACTAAATGTTTATTTAAAATACTTTTTTTTCTATTTTTTATTATTTTGTATTAATTAAAGTCAAAATAAGTGAAAATTCTACATTTAGCCTTTTAATATTTGATGGATATAAAATACATCATTAGACACTGGTATCTTTTTCTGTGTTGAGGCAAAATTTTAAATACACGGTTTTCTTTCATTTCATACAATAACTTTCCAATTTCAGTGATTTAGATCTTAGAAAAACCATTATTCCTCATTGAAATTTTGTTAATTTACAATACCCATTATTGATAAACGCTTAAACATTAATTTAAAAAACATCAAACTACTTTTTGTTGATTTTATATTTCAATATAAATACAATATCGATAATCTAATAAATTTTTCTTAGTAACTATTTTGACTATAGTTTATAATTAAAAAATACTGAAATACGAAATATATTTTTGCTCGTAATTACAGTCTCAGGAAAAGAAATAAATGAATATGGTAGGGACACACACGCACATTTGTGCCCCATTTGTATCATAGGGTTAAAAAAAATTTAAATAGTGAGAGAACCATACTGTGTCTGCGAAAAACTCTTCACTCTGTAACTTTTCATTTAGAGTTCTTAAGTCATCCAAACTGGCTGCAGGCTCATCTAAGTCACTGACTGTTTGGTGTTGGGGAAACATTTTTTGAATAACAAGAAAATTGTTATCACATTTTTGGTGCAGTCGAGCATGGGATTCCATCAGCTTCTTCAGTATCTCTATAAAGTAAATTAATATTTAGTTCTTATAAACTAGCAGCTTTGATATTCACTTTGAACATTCTATATTAATTTTAAAAAAACTTGAATTAAATATAAATGATAAAAAAGGGAGTATTTTCATGATGGTTTGTAAACTTCAACTACTGATACAAAAGAAAAAAGGATTTTTAACTCATATAGTTTTTTTTCTATAGTACCACTCAGTTCTTAAGCTAAAATAAGAGACTGACAAAACATAGTATCTAACTGGTTAAGGAAAACTTCTGCGAAATTAAGATTAGAGTCTCAAATATGAAATTTTTAGTTATTTTAAAAATATATACTGGATATACTTGTTACTGTTAAGTAAACTTTGAAATCAAATGAAACACATATCTATGTAAAGTAAGGAAATTAACTCGAATCACAAGATATTTTAGTTGGAAAGTTTCTTAAAAAATATTTAGAAAAAAAGTTATAAATTATAGAGATATTACCTTTAATCTCTACACACGTATCGCATTTTCCAACAGAAACTCTTGGTGTGGATGCGTGGTTGTGCCTTGGAGTCATATCATTTCCACTGTAAATTCTGAATTCATCCTCCATGTCTGCATCCACAGGCTGCATACTCACATCAGTATCTACAGACAACTCCCCAACATCGCTATAAATTTTGTACTCTTCCAGCTTACTCTCAGCCTTACCATAATTTCCTGCAAATATGGAATTTTTTTTTCTTGTAAATAAATTATGATACACCTACACTTGAACAATATTTGAAAGTCTTAACATTTGCATTCATGATATCTCACTTCCTTATAATTAATACATAAAATAGTTAAAGGGAGAAATATTTTTCTTTACCGAAAAAAAAAAATTACCAAAAAACGTGAAAACTTATTTTAGGTGATGATAATATGAATGAGATAAAGAGAAGAAATATCTAAATAACGATAAAGAAAGTGATCAAATAATTTGTAGCAAAAGATGATGAAGATAACAGTAATTATAAATGTAAAAGGGATAAAGTTTAATTATAAAAAATAAGAATTATTAAAATAAGAACAATGTAGAATATTTATAATGTTTCAATTCTTACTTTATTGTAGAATGAAAATTAAACAAATTAATTCAAAAATGCATGCCATAGAATTCCATTTCCCTTAGTTATGACTCTACAATTAAATTCATACTAGCGTTTGTCTCTATTCTGTTGTATTTTTTGAAGGATTAAAAGTTGTGGGTTAAAAGTCAGTGAAATGAAAGAAGTCAATTAAAATGCAAAATCTATGCTATTAATACGTAATTTTTACATGTATATCTTTCTCTTAATTTAACAAAAAAAAATTATGTAATTTGGCAGAAAACTTTTAGTTATTTTATTACAGAACAGAGTGTTAACCTCATAGAGTTATCAAATAAATCATTAATTGAAAGATTAATAATTATCTTACGAGTTTGGAAGACAATGTTAATTTTGAATATCTTCCAATTAGGCTGTGGGTCCACTCTCCCTGTTATAGCTCTTTTGAGTTTCGAAGAATCTTTGTAAGGAGGCCATAAGGTAACATAGTTGCCATTTACATAGGAAATCCATTTATTCACCACTATAGCTAAGCAATCCTTGTCGTCTGGAAACTTTACCACATTATAGTGTTTTCCTTGGAGTAAACTGTAAAATAGTTAGCAGTTAACTTTTTAAAAATGAAAAATATGAAAAATTACAACTTTTCATAAAGAATTATTCATGGGCTATTGAACAGAAGTGATTAATAATTACATGCGTGTACAGCCATAAAATAAATTTCTAACTAGCTTGCAATCTGTAAATCAATAGTTTTTCATAAAACTAAATAAATAATCAAATAATTACGAAAAACCATTAATGAAAATAATTACTCTCTACTATTCAATACCTCAAGTGTTTCTGTTTTTTCTTTCAAGTAAAACTTCTTTCTGAAAGTTGATTTATTATCGAAAAATACAATTACTATAATATTAATAATACTAAGTTAATTTTATAAATTTATTTTACCCATTTAGAAATAATAAACCACCAGGGAGGGTAGAAAATTGAAACTTTTAAGGTTTGAAGTGTTAGTTACGTTTTCAGAAAAAAACTAATTTATTTATTTTTTCCAAAGACTTAAAAATATTACTGTAATTTTTCCCTATTTTGTCATCGCTTTTCGGCAATCATCAAATATTTATGATAATTTTTAACTTTATTTTACTTGCGCAGTTTTTAAAATTTTAACAAAATAAAAATGAGCCTGTATCTGATTTTGTTTAAATTGCCCATATGTAATGTATGGCATTTCAGTACGATTTCTGTTATGAAAATATCAATATTTTTTTAAATAATTTGTAGAAAGCAAATTAATAATGCTATTTTTTTTTGTAAATAGCAAATGAGAATTGATAAAATGTTGCACTAAATATGCAATATGCATGTTCACTAAAAAAATGCTTGATAACTGTTAATACGATACGAATAAATATAGATTAACATAAATTGTCTATTATTGCAGATATTTTACAGAACAATTTGTGGAAATTTAGTTCTGAAGTCAGAATTGTTAATTTTAAAGACTTGCACTTTTCAAAAGGATAAATGATTATTTTTTATTCAATTTAGTTCAATCCAAGTCAATATTGCTGCATACATATAAGATTTCAGTTTTTAGTCTCCGTATTGGGAAAAATTAATTTGCAAAATACGATCGGAAAAAAACCCTCTAGCATTTAGAACTGAATACAACAGAGTTAATAAATGGTACTAATGAATAAATACAAACAAAATATCAAATCAATAATACTAAATTTATTTTTAAATTACTAAATCAGGATTAATGAAAATGTTGCCTTAAATATACAACTTTTACAAAAAATATACATTTTCAATCAGCAAAAAAATTGCTTGATAATTGTTAATGCGAATAAACAAAAAATTCATAAGAAAGCAAATATTTTACACCACTATTTGTGAACTTCTAATTTTGATAGCATAGTTCTTAGTGTCAAAAATTTACACATTTCAGCTCCATTGTATTTAATTTAGTTTAGCGGAGTCAATTTTGTTACATACATATTCCAATTTAGTTTTCCTTTTGGGAACAAATTATTTTTCAAAATACAAAATACTGTCAAAAAAACTTTCGTAATTAGAATTAATACAACAGAGTTAATAAAGTGTAATACTAATGAGTAAATAAAAGCAAAATTTATAAAACAAATTAATAGTAATAAATATATTTACAAATAACAAATCAGGATTGATAAAAATTAATATGCAACTAACCAAAAATAATATTCATATTCAATCAAAAAACATGTTTGGATAATTTATAATACGTATAAACATAAATTGCCTTCAATAGCAAATATTTGACAGCACAATTTACAATACTCTAATTTTCATAACAGTATTCTTAGTTATAAAGATTTGCTTCGGTCAGTTTAATGAATCATGGTTTGTATTCAATTTAGTTTATCAGAGTCAATTTTGCTTCATACATATTCTAATTAAGTTTTCATACTGTTTGAAACAATTTTCAAAATACAAATACTTTCCAAATAATTGAAAACTTTTGTATTTAGAATGGAATGCAACAGATTGAGCAAATTGTAATACTAATAGATAAATAGAAACAAAATATACAAACAAATATTCAATGAACACATTAAATACGAAGTATTAAACATGAAAATAAACATGTTTACTAAAATTGAAACAAATAAAATAATTTAAACAAACATAAAATATGAAATTCACAAAATATTAATTGAAAAAATCAGTTATTTAACTTGATACTATTGCTGTTGTTTAAATTGTGTGAGAAATCGGTATACCGATAAACCTGTTTTTAAATGGTAACATACACAATTTCTTAGAAACAAAATGTATGGGAAGTGCACAAAATTTAACTCTACTTTTACTTATTTTCAAAATATTTAACAAATCAGATTCAATAGGAGTGTTAAAGAAGTTACTCGTTTTAGAGTACACATTTCCTATCATGAAGATCTCTTTGTCTTCTTTTAAAACAAAGGATTCAATTTTAAAAACTTCGCCATTTTTTAAGATGACAAAGCAATCTCTTTCAGATGCTGTATTTAACTTATATGGGCCATTGACTTGAGAAAAATGCTTCCCTAAGATTCCAACGGACTGTCCAGAATAATTTGGATTTAAACTTTTCAATGAAACTTGAAAAGAAGCGAAAGAAGATGTTGTTGTCAATTTAGGAACATTTTTCTCCAAAAGCCTTTTACAGACTTGCTGCAGTGGCAAGTTTTTCTTTTTTATTTTACGTTTCAAGGTGCCCATATAATTTTCGAATTTAAATGCACTAAATGTGTCTAGCGCACCAAACTTTTCAACGTCATCACAAAGGTGTATCAATGCATGCACATTATACACCATTTGATCAGATCCATAAAGTTTGGAAAATTGGCGTACAAAAGATCTTAACAGTTGTGAAGCTCTCGCCAATAAGTCTTCACATAAGCAGGAAGAAGAAAGTATGAATATTGCGCAAGAGAATTTCAAAAAATGGTGATATTGAGCTTTTAAAAGCACAGACTTCAAACACACTGGTCCTATGTAAAGCAAAAATTGTCGGAACTCCGTTGCTTTCCAGTTATCTACATCTTTTAAAGAGCGGGGCTTTCTATTAAAATCTGTAGGCCAAATATTTCGAAGACTATCCAAATAGACATTTACTGAAGAAATGTGGGACCTAGATATTTGTCCAACATGTGATTTGGAGTTTTTTCCGAGCCAAATGTTTATGAGTTTCCTCATCACTCCAAGACACACCAGGTGCATGTAGTCTTGTGGAAACAAGGATACCATGCCGATGTCTAGTTCGATTAAAGGACTTTCACTTTTGTGGTGGTGACTGTCCTCCATGTTCTTAAAAGAACTGTCCGTGCGAAGGACCTTGTCTATGGAGGGAAAGGTAACTCGGCCTTCCCATTTACCTTTTTGAACGCAACGATCACATCCATTATAAGCATTAAATGGCTTAATACATTTAATAAATGCTTTTGCCGGCGCATCACAAATAAAACATTTTAGTTTCACACTGATTTGCTTATGGTTTTTTTTAAAACCAGAACTCAGTAAAGGCTTCATTTCTTCCACAAATTGCTGTAAATATTCTTCAACTGGTGGTTTTGTATTTCCGCAGTATATTGCTACTGGAAAAGGAGTTTTGGAAACATCTTCTTCAATCATACAAAGAATTGGCCAAAATTGAACATTGTTACTTTTATATAACGGAAGACCGTCGAAATTGAAAGATAATGTTAAACTATCTATGCAATTGTTTTCAATTTTTTCCAATATCACATTTTCTATACCGAAATAAAAAAACAAACCATTTCCCATAGTCTGTATGCCTAGTTTTCTTGGAGTTCTTAAAAGTGTTCTAGCATCACTTGGCAATTCTGGATGCATTGGTTTTAGCAATTTTAATAAATCCGTGAAGCTTTTTATAGTTGTGCTGGGATTTTCATCAAACCACGTCAGAAGCTTCTTTCCAACATCAACGGATTCTGCGTCAGAGTCTTTTGATTCCTCAGTTTTTTCCAAAAAATCCATACTATTCTCTTCTTCAAAGTCCGTTGCTGAGGATTCTGAGTCGCTTTCAGATTCTGACTCGCTTTTTGACGACTCGTCATCATCGTCGGTAGACTTGTAATCGGTCTCTGACTCTGAGGATTCTGACTTTTTTTCCAGGCAAGGTAATGAAGAAAAATTATTACTTTCTTCGTGGATCTCTGGACTTGAAAGGTCTAATCTCAGTCTTTTCCGCTTGGAAATTATGCTTAAATTAACGTCATCCAACTGTACTTTCACAGCTTTTTTTACGTCGCGCCAGGTGGTGCTACAGACAAAATATATTGGAAAATGAGACCATTGGAAATATTTTGCTTAGCAGGAAAACTGACTTATTTAAATAAGGAGGATAATATATAATGTATTTGAGTAGCAAATACAGTGAAATTAATAATACTATAAATAGAAATAATATATATTTCTATTTATAGTTTTAAAGCTAACTAAAGATACTTTAAGGCAACAAGAAATGTATTTTATTTCGATAAAATAATGGAAACAACTAATTTTCTTTTATCACTAAGTGTTATTGAATGATTATATCCACGTTTAAAGTTTAATGAATTACTTCTTGACAATTTATTACAGCGAGCTCTTTTAAAAAAGTAAAATGTTTTCTTGAACTATTTTTAATGTACTATTTCTTCAAATTTGAAGTTCACAATCATATAGTTTTATCATATAATATTGGTAGTTTAAAGTATAGATGCGACACACTCCTACCCACTATTTGCTTCAACTACAATTACTGCTATTAAATGCACATCATAGATGAAGAAAGCATGACAGATTAAAAGAAGAAAAAAATTATTTTTATTCTTAGGGATGTAATTCCTTCCAAATTGATTTTTTCTTATCAGTTTTTTTATTTATATTTCTCGAATAATTTAATGAGATTGTTGTACCTTAAAAGTGAAAATTTTTTGAAGCGTAATGACAATATAACATTATTTCAATTTCGAATTATGGTTTGACCAATTTGTCTCCACAGAAAAAATTAAGTTCAAATTAGAGAATTAATGTTATGCTAATGGAAAATTTCATAATTTAAAAGTAAATTTTTTTATTCCATTTTTTTTGTAAAACTATTCAGCAGCTGTATTTTTTGGACATAGGGATTATTTGACCGAAATAGTTTGAATAGTTATTTAGTTTCTTTTTAATTAAATATTAATTGAAAAATCGAAAACAGCTTGCATTATTTTAAGTTCATCATTAAATAACAAAATGCAAAATTTAAGCAGAAATAGAAGAATAATGAAATGAAAAGTTTCAAAGATATTATATTTTTAGATTTCAACTTTTCTAAAGTTTGGCTGTATTTTGTTACAATTACAAGCAATTTATACAAGAAATTTACAATGAATTTTGCAAATATTTATTGCTTTATTAAATTAATAATTTATAATTTATTTATTATTATTAATTTTGCAAATAATCAAAATTTTCCAAATAGAGGCCCCTTCCCTGTATTTTGAGTGTCAAAAATACGTATTTATTCAGAGATAGTATGTTTTTGTATCTGATTTTTTACTTAATTAGTTAGCACTAATTAAACATATTTGAGATTACCCTTAACAACAATTAGGATCGACAATCCGATTAAACACAAGTTATCCAGGGTGATGCCTTTTTCGATGTTACACACAAAATTCTAAAAGTGAGATTATCATATTACCCAAATTTTAGAGAAATCTAAACTTTATCTATTGAACATAATTTAAAGAAGACCACCCTAACGAAATTCTTTATAAATATCAGTAACGCTTTCAACTAATATTTTATTTGTCATCAGTTGTTTCACATGTTTCAGTTAATCTTTTATTTGTGTTTTACTGCTGATTTAATTCATATATATACAGTCAAACCCAGCTATAGTGAACCTTCAAGGGACCGAAATTTCGGTTCACTATAACCGGGAGTTCACTATATCCGCTCCGAAAACAATTTTAACTAATGGTTCCGAACTCCTTCTTTTTATTTATACATTATTTAAATAAATGACAAATAATGACTGAAAATGAATACGTAGTAACAAAAAATGTGTTAACTTGCTCTTATTTTTTACTACTCTTCATCAAACAGTTATCTTGCGTGCAAAATAAAAATTAGTAATCTTTGACTGATGCAGGGAAAATTGTCCATACATCTGCCTGGGTTGGCCTTTGTTTAGGAATAGAAAAGTGAGATAAAAGAAGCAAACAAGAAAAAATGCTTATCGCTACATTTCACTTTATAGATGGATTTCAAAATCAGTATTTATTTTGAAGTGGATATTTCAAAATTTTTAAAAAATATTAGTCTAAGACAGAAAAAAGTTCATAGTATCCAACTTCCTCACTTTTTTAGTTCACTATATCCACAAAAAATAACAATATACGTGTATAGCAAGGCACGGGACCGAACATTTCGTTCACTATAATATATATATATATATATANAATTAGGAAATTATATATATCCATATCCATATATATATATATATATATACGATTTGCAACTTGATAAAAAATAAACATTTCATCAGGGTTTAAATCAAACAATTAACAGCAACATGAATATGATTATACTGAAATAAACAAATAAACAAATGATTTTTTTTCTTCCCTAACTGAAAGTCTGATAGTAAAAACGCAAATGGTTTAAAATCATTTAAGATATTACGTAAAGTGCGAATGTACAATAATTGACTACATAAATTTTCTGCCACTAACTACTTTTGATTAATCTACAGAGAAGAATTTTATTCCAGAATTAAACCCTCTGTGAAAAGGAACCAAATTGGAAGCATATTCCCCCGATCGACGTGTGTTGTAAGCTTTTGTCTCATTCTGATTGAAATAGTCAAATATTGTTGAGACATTGCGAAGATTAATTAAGGAAAATATTGTGTAAAAGTGTTTGTCAAAAAACGACTAAATTAATTTTCATAAATTTTTTGTACCAAAACTAAGATAAGGGATAGAGTTTGAAATTTGATTTAATTTAACAAAATGGCATAACTACAGATGATTGCTCGTATGTTAATAATATCTATATTTTTTTTCAGATGCAATCTAATTTCCTTAATTTTGATGTCATTATAAAGAAAAAAAATCAGAACAGAACTGTGTAATTAAGCCATTAAAGCTTTTAAAATTTATTTTTAAAAAATTTATTGAAAAAATTATCTGGAAAAAAAAATGATAAATGAACAACTCTGTGTACATAGTGAAGCCATTTTGTTAAATTTAGCTTAAAATAACATTTATAAATTTTTTTTTAACATAACTCTTCATAAGCTATTAACATTCATAGAAAATGAATCATGTATGCTATATGAAAAGTGCATTGGTCAAATATGAATATAAATATAATGTAAATTAATGTAAAACTATGCTATTACTAATACGAATAGACCTGATAAAATAGACATGAAAAACTTTAGTTTTCAATGAGAGAAAAAAAAGTTTATATAATTATGAATATTTTAAAGAAAAATAAAATGTTCAGAAGTTGCATGCGAACAGAAATTTTACTATTTTTCAGTATTACTCAAACTAGTCACAGAATAGACTCGGGAAAAATAGTTGATAATATTGATCTGAAAACAAAACATCTCAAATGCACAATGCAAAATTTTTCAAACAAAACCGACTATGGGAAACGACATTTTACTAATTAGATAAAAATAAATAATAATTTGATGTGAGCATTTTCATAATTTAGGATCCGGATTAAAGAATTCAGCATTAAATTAGGAAAATACTTTTATCAAATCATTATTTAGATTCATTGTTTAGTGATGGCTAGACAATATTTAATAATAATCAAGTGGAAATTTAAACTTTAAACATTGAAATTTTGTAACAATTCAGAATTTACGACTAATCAAAAATTTTTAAAAATATTCTACTTATATCAAAAGTCATAACATTTTCAATCAAAAATCATAAGAATAAGATTCTGGTTAGGTTAGTTTACTGTAGGATAATAATATTTCAAATTTTAAAAAAAGTAGAAGAAATGAATAATAAAGAATTTATAAATTTTATAAAATTAAGAAGCTTCGAACATTGCAAAATTAAAAATACAAAAAAAAAAAAAAAAAAAAANAAAAAAAAAAAAAAAAAAAAAAAAAAAAAAAAAAAAAAAAAAAAAAAAAAAAAATACACTTACGTTTGAGAAGAACGGCTCATCTTTTAACCCAAAAGATTATAACGCAAAATAGATGGGCTGAAAAATAGAATTTTTACAAAATTGGTAAATCACAATATTCATCAGAGTTATTATGAAATTAATATATGAATTTTCAATAGAGTATTAAAAGTAAATTATGATGCTTAATTTAAATTTATTTTTTAGGAACAGAATTAAGTCCAATATTTATTTTTTCTCCAAAGTGTATAAGCAAATGCAAAATCTTTTTCTTTGAAATTTATTGGTTATCCATGTATGATTATCGATTTTATAGTAAATATTAAGGTATCGATCATTTTCTTTATAAATAATTATGATTTAAATAAACATAATAAGTATCAAGTTGTTGTTTTCTTTAATAAATTAACTATTAAAAAAGGAAAAAAATATTTTAAGATTTGAAATTCGCTTTTAAATAAGGCAAGTATTTTTTAATCATAACTTAAAATAATTAAATAAAGAGATGTTTTTCTTTCAAAATGTTCAAATATAATTTTATAAAAAATAATGTATGAAAACTTCAAGGAAATTAACTTCAAGGTTTGTCGAAAAACTAAATCTGAAATTAAGGAAATAACAATAAAGTAAGAAGTGAATGTTAATAATCACCTTCCTGTTATAAAACAAAGTATAATGTGAAATACATTAACAGTACTCATATTTTAATTTGAATAATATTGGAAAAATTCACTTTCCTCCTATTCAAAAAGTTTTATTTCTTGATTTATGCAAAAACATTAAAAATAAAGTATTAACTCTAAAAGAAACAAAAATTTTAAACACATTGTTTAAAACAGCTTAGAAAATGATATGAAAAATACTTCGTTATATCAAAGGAAAAATGAAACTAAAGCTTTAATTTTTAATTCAAAACCTAAAACTTTGTAAAAGAATAATTCTTATAGCAAATAACTTAAAAGTTTGTAATGTTCTTTTAATAAAAATTTGTAATTAGTTATGATAATTTAATATAATTATGATAAGTTAAGATTTAAAGTTTGAAACAAAATAATTGATATAAAAATGCTACTTACATTTTCACTGGATTAATAATCGTAGTGGTTAAAGGTCGTTATAGCTTGCGATTTAAGTCGTGTTACCAGTCCAAAACTTTAAAAAGCAATGAGTTCTACGATGGTTGGAGGTTATCTTTTAACCTATGGAGATCTTGACCACTAGCAATGCTGGAAAAAGCGAAAAACTCCCCCCACCCCTAGGAAGTCGTGGCGACACATCTGGAGGAGCGTCACTAATTGGTTCAAGAACAGACGTCTCCTGAAGTGAAAACTAGCCCACTGTCCCCCATCTCTTTTTGAAGTAAAAACGAACTAAAAACCTTAAATATAATGAATTGCGACAATAAGAAAAATTTTATTGTCACAGATTGTATTCATAAACATTTAGATTAAAAAAAAAATCCTGATTTATTCAAAGAAATTTAGTTGTAAAAATCAAACGTTTATTTAAACAATTCGCAAAATGAAACTAAATGGCCTTTGGATTATTAGTTATTGAATAGAAATTTATTGGTATTTGTATTATAAATTACTTGTCAAATAATCTATTTCGAAGAGTATTTTATACTATCGCGTGAGAGTTGTTCGAAAAAAAATAGTTTTAAAGTACACCCAAAATTGAAAACTTTTCGGTAATATATTAAAAAAAAATACTATTTGAACAAATTTAAATGCAAAACTATGTTTTCTCTACACATGGTAAAAAATAAAGAGTACTTTTTATTTCTTTGTTAGATTGGAAAACAAAGTTCGAGTTCGCACTGTAGTGACAGAAAAAGAAAAAGATCAGAAAAAGAAAAAGAAAAAACTGTAGTGACGAAAAATATTAAAATGTTTTATTACAAAATATTAAATTGTATACCTATGGAGAAATAAAACTATAGCTCCGCTTTACTTATCAGATTTCTTACTCTAAATAAAATATTAATCTAAAAAAAATTCCTTATTAAAAAATGTAATAAAATTACTTTCACTATAATATTTTTACAATATAACTTTATTCTATTCATATTTTAAACATTTAGGACCATTGTAGTTATTTTGTTGCACATTTTATTATTCATCACATACAAATAAAATTATAATTACCAAATATTCATTTATTAGTAATTTCAATCTGAATTCGCTAAAATCCGCGCGCGCGATCGAGTTTATAAAAAATTTGTTTCTATTCATCTTTCGGATTTTTAAAGGAAACGAACTAGTCTCAGAAAGAGATAAGTGTGTTTTTTAAATATATACTAAACATATAAGTATGATATAGTAAACTAAAAAAAATTGATTGATTATTATCAAAGGACCATAAAAGAACTGCTTATGAGAATAACTATTTCAGTCTTATTTCTGCCTTTTCTAAATGTATAATTAATTATATAATGATGGAAGTTAATGAAATGATTCTTTGTAAAATGTAAAACATAATATGTCAGGTGATTAGATTTGAATTATCAATAGACACATTAAGAATTGGAATTTCTAGAAGCAATGCACACATTCATGGAATGAAATGCTTATACCTTTTGTAGCATGTGGCATGTTTATTTCTACTTTTAAATGCATCAGTTCTCTGTACATCTTAGAATGTACCAAAAATAATTTTATTTTTATTATATTTTTAGCTTTTGAAAGGGAAATAATGAATTTTAAGCATTGTTTTCTTTCGTATTAAGCATTTCTTGTTCATTCCAAGTGTATTAATTGAGATTTTAATGAGCGTGCAGAAGTGCTTGTTAATTAAAATTGTTAATAGTAAATTGTGGGATTGCAATGGCTAAAGGTACCCTTTTATTACAGTTAGAAATTTTGTTATTTTTTTATTTTTTTTAATCTGACAGAAAATTGCGTAAGGGCTTCCTGAACTTCTTCCGAATCTTGGTCGCGTGATTTGACATACTCTGCGCCCCTTTAGTTTACAATCTAAATAAATTATATGCTATAAGCGGAATCTGTATGCATATCACACATGATTTGTTTTTTTTAGATGAGTAATGTATTGACATTTTTAAAAAAATTTAATCGCATAGTTCATTTTTTCCACTTATTTTATTCATTAAATTTCGTTTGCAAAAATAAGATTAATGAACTATGTTTCGCATTATATAATTTTGTATAAAAAGTTAATTTATAAAACTAAGTTTACAGTTTCAAGAGAGCATTTTGATTTAATAATTTAAAAAAAAAATAATATTTAGAAATGAAAAAATGTGGAAAAAAACCTACTTAGAAGGCATAAAAATAGTTTTTTTTTCTTCCCCAAATGGCCTTTAGCTGGTCCCAATCTTGTCCTTCATCCTGATTAGCATTTTACTTTTAACTCACATGGTTAATTTAATTTATTATCAAATTTTATAAACAATATTTCTTTACAAAGTTTCAGTATTTGAAGACAATATTAGGAATATTGTTTATTTATAAGTCAACTTTTATACAAAAACTTTTACACATAAGCAGGGTTTGAAAAAACCCGGGGATTTTTGAAAAAACCCAACCCGCCCGGGTTTTATTGAAAAAACCCGGGGAAAATTGGGTTTTTTCATTTAGTGCTCATAAACTTTACAATTTTATTGTGAAAATATTTTCATTTATTAGTGTTGTATAAGTAAAAACTAAAATTTCATCTGACTTTTACCTCTAATAAAATTAAACAGCAATAAATATTTTGATCTTCCATGTTTTTATAATACGATTAATAAAAAGTGAAATTAAAATTACGTATAATTATAAAGAGTATCACCTACTTGTCCCATTTTCCAAATATTTAACCTCAGAAGAAATGACTGCATTTTTAGATAAATTTTAACTTTATAATTTCAAAAAACAATAAAAAAGCATAGTTAAAAAGTTTTTGCTTATTTTTTTTTAAAACCAGAAAATAAAACTTCAAATTTGTTAATTGTTGTTTAACGTATCACTTAATAGAATTTTTTTTCTCGTGTGTTTTCAATATTTTTAAACATGATTAAAAGAAACAAAATAAATTGTATTCAAATGAAATCTTAAAAATAATATTTAAAAATTCTTAAGAGTAATATTTGTATTTTTAACTGTTTTTTAATGGTGATAAAACTTTTTTCAAACAGTTAAAAAATATCAGTAGATGTTAAGAGTTGACTTAAAAAAAGGTTCATATATTTTTAATTTATCATTATTATGATACAGCAGATTCAAAGTGTCTACAAAATCCTACAGTGTAAAGCCCAACATTATTTAATATTTTTGACAAATTATTATTAAATTCATTTTGATGTTCAAGAGCAATCTCTTGATATTAATGGTAATTATTGGCAAAAGTTTTTGCGCGGTCACAATATGAACTCCACCTAGTATCATTTGGTCATTGGGGCATCAAGTAGTTTTTTTCATTAGCCCATCCATGTGCCTAATGCACATTTCTAAAATATTTGTTATCTTCCACCATGTGTCCAATGATAGTAATTAGGAAATACTTCTTTTTCAACCAAATTTAAAAAAAAAAACAATTTGTGAAAAGACCCACTAAGGTGGGCCCACCCAGTAAAACTCGCCCGGGTTTTTTCAAAGTGGGCCCACTTGGCGAACCCTGCACATAAGCAAAACTAGATTTATTGACATAAAGTATATTATTAACGGTTCTAGGAAAAAAAGGTACCGGAAAAAAAAGGTGCCTGTAAGAAAGGGACCTGTGTAGGGAAAATTCTGTAGGGGAAAATATTTGAAATGAGAAGATTAGATTGAAGCGCTTTTTTCTGTTCCGTGCATTCTTTTTTTTTTTAATTCTTTTTTCGTGTCGCGCGTTTTCAATTAATTAAAAAGGACCAATACTTTCACCTCCAATCACGAATAAACATCCAACACATAAATCCTCCCAACTTCCCCGATTGGCTACCTTAAGCCTCACATTAGCAACTTCTTCACAAAATATAATTTAAAATAGAAAATAACACATTTTTTACTTAAAAAAATTAGAAATAAAAAGTAAAACATAATTGAAAAATTTAAATAATATCTTCCCGCTTTAAAAAATAATCAAAGAAGAATAAATAAATGAAATAAAATTTAAGAAAAAAAAATGCGTAATACAACCAGCCCATAAGTCCCCCCCCCCTTCCCTTCTCCTTTCCTCAATGATCTAATCTGAATTATTATAGATAAAAAGAATATTCATTGAAACATCGAGAAGCTTTCATGCTGCCCAGAAAGCGAGAGGAGAAATATCCCTACAGATTTTCCCTATGGAGGTACCTTTTTGGCCGGGACCTTTTTTTCCGGGACCTTTTTTCCAGGGACCCTTTTTTCCGTACCTTTTTTTCCAGGGACCTTTTTTTCTGTACCTTTTTTTCTGTCTACCATTATATTAACAATATGAAAGCACCAATATCTCAGAA